CCAGTTTTAGCAAGATTTCTGCTAAGTCAGTTTAGAGATAATTCCCCATCCTTAATATCTGATTACCCCTGATATCTGATCGAGTTCCTCATTCTCCACCTTTGAGGTATAAATCCTTGACCTGCCTTCAGCAGAAATCCTGTTAAGTGGGTTCAACAAGAATCCCCCTTGCATTGTCTCCTCCTAGTATTGTCCCATGGACTCCTTGTCATTCTGCTCCTTGCCTGGAAATCCCCGGCTGTCTTTGCCATATTCAGAGGTGAACCTTGATCTCTCTCCACTATTGCCATAGTCTTGACCCCAATTGCAATAGTCCTGAACAAAGTCTTCCTTACAGTTTTAATAAGAGCCAGAACAAGATTGTAGTTTAATAGGATTGAGAGGTGGGAAGGAGAAGCATCCTTGCTTTGTTGCTTCTATCATTAGAATCCCTCAAACAGTCAACTTTGCTTTTCTTTATGTTTACCTAACAACCTCTGATGGAGTCTAGCTCCCAAAGTTGTTTTCAGGCTGAAAAGACTGTACCTCACCATCTTACAGTTCTCACTGATATTTAATATTACTGGCATTGGTGCTGGTTTGTATGCTTCTGTGACTAACTTAATCATGGAGCAGTATTGGTGCTGGTTTGTATGCTTCTGTGACTAACTTAATCATGGAGCAGTATACCCGCGGCAAGCACATTGACAGAAAAGAAGTTTCTGGGCCTGCAAAAGAGAGGCCCAGAGGTGATACCTGGTCATGGTGAGCTACAGCATTTAAGAATTACTGCTGGACCTTAGATGACGGAGTGACTAGTGAACAATAGCAACCAGTTTTTGAAAAGTCAATAGGGAGTTAGAGATGAGGAAATAGTGTGGATAATACAAATTATTTTGGCCATTGCATTCAAAATTTAATCTTTTTTTCGCACTGTTTACATTCTAAGACTCAATATACATCTTGTATTGTCACCCTTTATCACTCAGATTTGCCCATGGCTGTATCCTGACTTGGAAATATAATTATAATGCAGAATCTGGTTCAGAGGTCCTGGTGGGGTGGAGACAGGAGTCTGTGTTTCTGGAAAGCTCCTACGTGTTGCAGATGCTGCTGGTTCAGGGCACTTAGAGTATAAAAGGTGAGGTGTCATCGTCTCTAGTCTAGAGTATTGGTATAAACTCCTAAATGGTCTCCCTGCCTCTTTTTCCAATCCATTCCCCAAGCTGCAGCCAGTGTGATCTTTCAAAAATGCAAATCTAAACGAGTTCTGCCAGTTTTTCTGCTTCCCATAACCCTCAGAGCCTCAGATCCTGCTGCTGTCTCCTTCCTCGCCTTCAGGCACCCACTCCTGTCTCAGGCTCACTGTTCCAGCCCCCATGAATTAGACTCCATTCCTGTAAGCACCTGTCAAGTCTAGTTCTCTGCTTTCTCACAAGTTCTTCTCATCTGACAAACATTATTTCTATTCCCTATCTTTACCTCTCCCATGTCCTCCCAAGTTATGAACCTTTCTCTCCTCTCTCATCTCTTCCACTTATTGTATTTATCAACCTATATAATTACTTGTCTCAAATTTCTATCAATAGATCATGAATGAGGGAAAGAGGTACCTGTATTTGTTTTAATTGAATCTCTGTCACATTGTTTCACATATAGAAAATATTCAAAATATATTTATTGAGTTGAATCAGAAAAGGAAGAGTGTTAAGGAAGCAGTAGCCTGTAAAGGTTTCAAACTGATACCTCATTTGGTCTACTCCAGACAGTCACAAACAGGGTTACTAAATATTAAGGACAAAATTGATCAGGTCATCAAATTGACAATATGAAGAACTGTAACTACTTTAAAATAAAACTAGGCTTGCAGTTCTGTTTAAATTCTGTCTTATCTAAACAATACAGAATACATTTTTTATACATAAAACGAAGGAGCCCTGACCAGCTGTTCTCAATTTTCAGAGAAGGGCTAGCAAATATAAGCATAAATTATAGTTAGATATGCAAAATATAAAGATTAGATAGTAAGTAGGAGTAGGGGTTAGATAGCCTGTGAGAGACCCTGCTGAAAAATGTTTCACATGATAAATAATTTTTAGATCTTAGTTTGTGAGATGTTGTAGATGGAGTCAAACAGCTATAACCTTTAATAGCATCTTGGAACTTTACATGAACTTCAGAGATGTATTATAAAAGAAAAATCAAAATGGTACGAACTCAAGAATAAAACAGGCACACGGGCCTAACATAAAAGTCTGTGTGGCTGAAGTATATCAATTCAATGAGGCTTATTTATTGTATTATATACAAAAGTATAATTGATAATCTGTTGCATTTTCATGTTTTTCTTTCACTGTGCTTTTTTTTTTTTTTTTGACTAGAGACTGTCTTTTTTAAGGAAAGAATGGCATCTGAAAGTACTAGGATCCACCTGGCCTTTTAGTTTTCTTGTTACCTGATCCCAAAATTCCAGATCTGGCTCAGGATTCTGGTGTAAAATAAACTACTGGATTCCCATCAAGGTACTGTCTTAGAAAAGATCCCCAAGGGAGCCCACCTGCCCCACCCTAGGAATTCCTCCAGGTGAACAATGCTCCCATTGTTTATCTTCATTACTCTCAGAGCCACACCTGGTAGAAGCCAGAAGCTGCCCATACCCACCTTCTCAGAAAGAATGAAAGAAAAAAAAAAACAGGAAAAATGGAGTTAGGAAATGATTCAATGTATCAAAGTATCTTTTTGTGTTTTGTGTGCAAGAATATATAATAGTTTCATGGGTGTGAATTTGCTTTCAATACAAATATGCTAAACCTATTATTTACTGATTACTCACATGCTAGAACTTACCAAAAAAAAAAAAAAATCTCCCTTTTTATTTCTTTATTTGTGGCTGCCCAAGGGCTTCTGTGGGGCTTCCCTGGTAGCTCAGCTGGTGGAGAACCTGCCTGAAATGCAGGAGACCCCAGTTCGATTCCTGGGTCAGGAAGATCCCCTGGAGAAGGGGTAGGCTACCCACTCAAGTATTCTTGGGCTTCCTTGGTGGCTCAGATGGTAAAGAATCCGCCTGAAATGAGGAAGACCTGGGTTCGATCCCTGGGTTGGGAAGATGCCCTGGAGGAGAGCATGGCAACCCACTCCAGTATTCTTGCCTGGAGAATCCCAGTGGACAGAGGAGCCTGGCGGGCCACAGTCGACGGGGTCGCAAAGAGTTGGACACGACTGAGCGACTAAGCACAGTACATCATAAGGGCTTCTGTAGTTGTGACACCTGGGCTTAGTTGCCCCATGGCATGTGGAATCTTCCCGGACCAGGGATCCAACTCATATCCCCTGCGTTGGCAGGTGGATTCTTAACCACTGGACCACCAGGGAAGAATGCTAGAACTTCTTATACATATTTTATCTGGTCTTTGTGACCACCAGGAAAGTTAGGTATTACACTCCCCAGTGAAGAGAAGCCCAGAGAGAATCAGTCCCAGTCACTGGCTGATCCGAGATCCAGACTTGGATCAACCTCATTTCTAAACCTAAATTCTTTCCTCTAAGTTCTGCTGCCTTCCAGAAAGCAAAGCCCCAAAGATAATCTCATCGGAAGTTTCGACTAACTTTATTTAGTTAAAATATAGAGAAAAAAAGGAATGCATGCGTGAACAGACTCTATCGGGGGTATCCAAAAAGCTCGTGCGGACTGATACTGGACCTTAGAGAGGCTATTGGTAGCCCCCAACCCTCGTTCCAATACTTCCGCCTCTCGACTTCCGCAGGTGTTACTTGTTACCCGGGAAAACCGCAGCGCGCGGAGCGGTAGCGAGGTTATGGTAGAGAGCTGAGGTCTAGCGATCTGCAGACGTCAGTCTTTAAAATGTGTATTCAATCTGTCCTCGTTCACTTCCACTACCTCTTTCCCACCCAGCTATTCGCTGATAGCCTTGAAATTCTCCCCTCTTCCAAACTGTCCTCCCCCAAACCCTCCTTCACGCGCCAGATAATCGGGATATGTCATTTCCTCTCGTCTGAGCCCTCTGCGGCTGCTCCTTGCTCCGAGGATGAAGTTTTAACACCCTTCCAGGCCCTCCGCGTTCGCCCCCTGCTCAGTACTCTGGCTTCCCACTCCCGGTCATGAACTCTCCTGTTCGCCTTGCTCCCCCCACGCAGGCCCTTTTCTCCCTCAGCTCTTCTGCGCAGCAGGCAAGTTCTCCTGCCCCCCGCCTTCAGCTTTCCCGAGCCCCATTCGCTCTCTGAGCCTCAGCTTAGATGCCTTTTTTTAAGTGAAGCCTTTCGTGTCTAATTCCTACCTGCAGTCTCAACTCCTGGCATCTAATTAGACCTTCCTGGGTGTACACTGGAGCTCTTCGTCTACGATTGCAATTTTCATTGCATACTTGCCTGATTATTTTTAATGTCTGCCAAGTGTCACAAAGTTTTACCGCCGTGCCTGGAAGGCACACTTCTGAAACCTAGTAACTTTTCAATGAGTGAATGAATGAGGGAACTTGAACTGGATGTTTTCACCACCATCATCCTACCGTGACAATATTTCGAGTCCCCCATTGCTACTGTCAATGGCATGCTCACCTCCGTGGGCTTAGCAACGCCCAGGAGGAGAGTAGGCGGCGCACCCACCCCTGGCTCCGGGACTCTGGGGACGCCCCAGGAACAGTGGGGCTCGGGGCGGGTCTCACCGCCAGGAGTCCTCGGCGCTCCCAGGTTCACGTGCACCGGGGAGGAGGGGCAGAGGAAAAAGAGAGCGTTTGCTGGGAGCTCCCGGGGCGCCTCCACCCCGGCGGCCCGCCGCCACCCGGGAGCCACTTCCTCCTTGGGGGCCGGCGTGCGGGGCGGGGCAGGAGACGCCCCCGCCGGGCTGGGCCCGGGGCCGCCCCAATGAGATTCGGTGCCCGGCCGCGGCTGCGCCCAGTCCAGGCGCTGCGCTTGGCCGCGGAGGAGGTGGCAGGCCGGGGCGGCGGCGGCGCTGCGAGCGCCAAGGGGAAGCCGAGCCTGCCAAGCTGGCGCCCGGCGGGGCCATGGTGACCGGCGCCCGCGGCGGCTGCGCGCAGGCGGGGGCTGTCCGGCGCGGCCTCCTGGCCCTGCTGCTCGCGGTCTCCGCGCCGCTCTGGCTGCAGGCGGAGGAGCTGGGTGAGTGGAGCGTGTCCAGCGGGCGGCGGGCTGGGCCTGGAGGGACAGCGCGCGGGGGGAAGTCGGAGTCGCAGCCTGTGCCTGGAGTCCCGCTCTCTCCGGCCGATGGCGGCTCGGGTCAAAAATAAGTTACTGCATTCCGATCGCTCCCCACCAAACTCCTTCCTTCGCCCGCAGACACTTCGCGCCTCCCAACTTTCTCTCTCCCCTCTCGGTTGGTTTCCAGACTTCCTGACTCTGCGGGCCCCGTGAGAAGTGACATGGCCCGGGGGGTCGTGAAATGAAGACCCCAGCCTTAGGGGGAGGATGTTAGTGGGGGAGGCGCCTCTCAAACCTTTTGACAACAGTTGCCCACAGCCGGCCGCCTCTCGTCCTTGCGCAGCGTGTGAGTTTCTGGCTGGCACGGATGGTTGGGAAATGATTCCCCGAGGTCCGCCCTGGAAAGCCGGCAGCCTCAAACAGGCCGCCCCTCTAGAGTGTGCTGCTGCGCCCCGACTTGGAACCGTGTGGGTCGGCTCCTTCTTGGGTGTCTGAGCGAGTCTCCCGACCTGGCTGATCGTTCTCTGGACCCGGTCCTTGCCTTCAAGTTGGACCTAATTAGTCCACCGGCGAGTTTACTGCTGCTTATCCAGCAGATGAAAGCAGTAAGCCGTTTTACCAGCTGTAGGCAAATCCTTGAAATTTAGTTCTTTATTGATCGTGAGGGGCAGCTTTCTGCGGAGTTTTCCTGTGGTTTCCCTTCTGCCTTACTTTTGCCCCTCTGCAACCCAGATGATTTAATGGCAGTGCATCTATCCAGACTATTCTGACGGCTCCCCACCCCGTGTTTTCTAATGGGACAAGAACCAATGCTAAACCAAAGGCAGGCATTTTGGTCACTGAACCCTATATTCTCAGTCTGAAACTTTGATAGTCAAGATGTTGGTTTTGGTTCCTAAATTAGCTTACATACCTATTTGTTAGGAAAGAAAGAAAGAAAGAAAAACCCTAAAATTTAGGCAAACTGTGTCTTGGCACTGTAGCAGAATGGGAATGTTGTAAAATATTGATAAATGCGTGTGTTTTTATTAAATATGTAGGATTTTGATCATGGGTGTTTTAAGCCCGCAGAAAATGTTTCTCAGGTCATTGTTGGAAGATGCACCTTCAGTATTGTACATCTATGAATAGATCCAGCAGTGTGTTCCTATACTAGTCTGGCCACAGCTGTCACCATCTTTCCAAATGCAGTTTTTTTAGACGTTATATGGCATCCAGACTGTTAACTGGGTGCTTTATAGAGCAGTCTCTGGGAAGTAGTGTGACTGCTTAGATTCTTAGAGCTTCACATTTGATACTTCATTGCACAAAATTGTTGGAAGAAGATGTCATGTTTCCATGAAGAATCCTGTATATTTAGGACGTTAAAAGAACCAATGAAGGCATAGGTATTCAGTCACAAAAGCAAAACTTAGATTTGGTACATTTATTGAAAAAATCCAGGAATTCGAGTTCTGATGTCTCTTGAGTGAAGAGGCATAATCAATGATTTTTGAGTATCTCTCAGGTCTGTGGTATTTAGGATTAGCCCTTGGTCACTTGTTTTTCAAGTTCTTGTAAATTTAAGCATGCAAAACCATTTTAGGTTTTGAAATATTCTACTGGGTTTGATGTTTGATGATCTCCAGTGATATTAGTGTTCTTAACGTTTAAAAAGTAAGACTCGTGCCTTAGCGTGAGTCTGGTTTTGTTAAGATGACACTGTTTATTGCATTTTACTATCATTGTTTTTGAAGGCAGCTTAGTCTGCCTTCTTGGCAGTCTTGGGAGTCTTCTTGGCTCCCCAACCTGCTTGATCACCACTGTCTCCAGAAGCTTTGTAGAGCCCCAAACCCATACTGTGAATCAGAACATCCAATGGGTGGGGCCTGGGAAGATGCGATTCTAAAAAGTTCCCACAGGTAATTCTGATTCAAATCAGCTTTGAGATGGTGGAAACATCTGACATTGTATAATGTTAATTATATGTATCATATATATTATTATAACATATATAATACTGTATAATGATAATATGATAAAGTGCTATTACCATCTGTGTCATAGACCATTTATTTAATATTAGACTTTTATTCATTGTGTTGTTTCAGAAAATAAATGTGATAAATTAATCTGAATATTTATAGGCCTAGTCAATGAAATTATTCGTTTTTTAAAAAAAGTCAGAATCTGGTGACCCCTGAAGCTATACTGGTTCCTTGTAAGACTGCTGCTTCCTATGTGCTGTTTTTGCTATATATATATATATTTTTTTTTTTTTTTTCTTTTTAAGTCCATTCTTCTATATTCACTGCCAGGCATACCCCAGGCATTAGGGCTTGATGAGCAGAATATGGGCTGATTTTTGCTTTTTCCTGCTCCTCTGGACCCACTTAACTAACGTTAAGCATTTCCACAGATTGTTTCACATGATTTTGACTTTACATAATATCACATTTGGGGCTTCCCAGGTGGCTTAGTGGTAAAGAATCTCCTGCAATGCAGGAGATGTGGGTTCCATCCCTAGGTTGGGAAGATCTCCTGGAGAAGGAAATGACAACCCATTCCAGTATTCTTGCCTGGAAAATCCCATGGACAGAGGAGCCTGGCAAAAGAATGATTTAGTGACTAAAACAACAACAGTAATGTCGCATGTATGTTGATCATTAGCATTGTTTCAGTTTATAAGTCCATAGGCTTGGGCTTAGGTCTTATTACCTTGATTATCAGTTTTGTGAAATAAAATACCTTTTATTCATGTGAGGAATTGGTGCTAACTAAAAATCCCTGATTCTCTCTTCACCAAAATATTTGGAAATGGATATTAAAGATTTCCTTCTTGTGATTTAAGTATTAGGAGAATAAAAATAAGCAGTTAATCTCTGTGGAAACTTATAAGCATACAATTAGATATAGAAAATTTGATTATAAGATTCTGCCCAACTCTAACTTTTTACTTTCAGAAGTTCTACTTTTAAGCCATCCATCCTTTATATTTGGTTCAACAGGGGACAGCTGATGTCTGATGTTTTGGGTGAGTGGCTTTTTAAAAAGTACTCCCAATTTCTTCTGGCACCTTCTGCATCAGTGCATGCAGTTATCCCAGATTTTCCTTCATCTTGAAGGTCTGCCATTTGGTCAATGTGATGAACTCTAAGTTCTGGCGGGCAGTGACTGGGATTGTCTTTATCTTCATAGCACCTGACCAATAAATGTTTCTCAAGTTGAACTGAAAAGTGTCTTTTTATTGAGAAGATATTTTCAAATTGTCCTCCTTAGAGGAAACTAAGTAATGAAGGGTCTACCAAAGTTCTTATGAAGGCACATCTGATGCTTCCACTAATTAACTGTGTTTCGCAAGCCCAGCTCTCTGGGCATGCTTATTTCTATACATCAGGATGCCTTCTAAATGCAAGTGCAGCAGAAAGAAGGGAGGGTGGCCACCAGAACAATATGTCTTTTGGCACTAGTAGGTGTAATCTATAACTGGCACCATGAAACGTTAAGTTATACCATGTATTTCAGAGGAGAAAAAGTTGTGCTGAAGGATTAATTAAACATATCAAAGGATGTTATTAAAACAGGATTTGAACTCTGAAGTGTCTCAAACTGTACTTACCAACTTTTCATAAGTTGAACCCTTTCACCTTAGGGTACCGGAGCAGACTAGAAAATCATATTAAAAACCACAACTTGGAAATAAGCAAGACATTTATAAGAAACTAGATTTTTATTTTTCAGGTGCAAGGGGAAATTAACTGCAGCATGTAGCAAAGATTTTAGTCATGTTAAGGCAGTGAGGTTATGAGACAGGGGAGAGGGACTTGTTAAGGGAAATATTTCCTAGAGAGTTTTGGACTTACTGCTATGCCTGTCCTGAATCAGGAAGTCAAATCTCTGCATATTAGAGCAACCAGTTGTTTTGAAATTTCAAGGAAATAATGTCCTGTGCTTGGTCATGTCCAACTGTTTGCAACCCCATGGACTGTGGCCCGCCAGGCTCCACTGTCTGTGGGATTTTCCAGGCAAGAATATTGGAGTGGGTTGCCATGCCCTCCTCCAGGTGAGGAGATAATACACGATACCTATTTGGACTTGCTGGTAGCACAGAGAACTCAATAATTGGCTTCTACCTTACTAATCATTACTGTTTGTTACTATTAATTTGACACATACAGGGACCCTTTGTTCTGCTTCCCCCATTGCTTCCTGGACCTCATTCTCTACCACACTGCATGTTCCCAGCCATACTGACTTTCTCACTATTTCTCAGTGGTATCAGTCTCCCTTCTAGCTCAGAGCCTTTGCAGGTGCTATTCCCTCTGCCTGGAACTGGCTGTCCCCAAATGTCTACACTTCTTTCCCCGTTAGTCTTTCTTCGGACCTTGCCTTTGGAAGACGACCAGCCCTAACCACCTGGAGCCCTCTCGTCTTCCCCAGAACTCTACATGCCCTGCTCCCTGCTTGCAGTTTTCTCCAGAGCACTTCATATCTTCTCACAGAGTAATTTATACTTTTCTTTCTTGTCTGTCTCCCCTCCATGAGAATGCGAGGTCCATGAGAAGCCTGGTGCAGTGAATAGTGGCCAGCACATGGCGGGTGCTCTGTAGGAAATGGGTGCTCAGTGAGAACAGGGTGGGAAGACAGTGAAGAACCAGTTCCTGCCTTGTGGTTGAAGACTCTGAGCTAACTCTAGCTGAGAATCACAACCTGAACAAGACAAAGTACTGAAGTTCTATGTCTAGTCCAACTGCTATTTGTAAACAGAAAGTCTGAAAATATGGATTTAAAATAGAGGAACTCACACAAAAGCAGAAGATATTAAGAAGAGGTGGCAAGAATACACATAAAACCTATACAAAAAAGATCTTCATGACCCAGATAACCATGGCAGTATGATCACTCACCTAGAGCCAGACATCCTGGAATGCGAAGTCAAGTGGGCCTTAGAAAGCATCACTACGAACAAAGCTAGAGGAGGT